TTATTAACGTTAAATAAAAAATATTTTCATATTTATTTTTAAGATATAGACATCAGGTCCGGGACTACAAGCAACTACTAGTAGACTGAAATATATAGTAACGATACAAAACTAAACTAATGCGAAAATAAAAAATAAAATATTAGGGAATTGCCTGGGTCTTCAATCACGTGACAGATTTAATAGCCAGATTGGCACATGATCGCGTCATATTTATTTGTTTATCGAATCTTGTATGTTCGTTTCCTCGGTTCTTCGGTCTCAAGGTATTTTCTTTTTTTTTTCTTTTTCTTTTATTTTTATTTCTACACTTTGCTTACTAACTCTATTTCATTTTTTTAGGTCCTTTAGTCCTTCCGGTTATGCAGTTGTTTTTCACTTTACGTTTCGTTTCTTACTTATTTTTTTATTTTTTCTTATTTTGTTTCTGTTTCATATTTCGGTTTTCATTAATTTTATTTAATTTTTTTAGATATTTTGATTTTTTCGGTTCTACAATTAATAAGGGTATGTTTTTTATTTTTTATTTATTTTTTTTATTTCGTTTCTATCTTATATTTCGTTTCTTACTAACTTCAAATTTTTTTTACTTTATGGTTTTATTTTTTACTTGGTTTCCTATCATTACCCAACCTCCTATCATGATCATTTTCCATTATCTCTTTTTCTTTCCTGTTTACTTCCCATCATTTCTTTTCGTCTCCCATCACTCCTCTTCATCTTCCCATCACTTCTTTTCGTCTCCCATCACTCCTTTTCATCTCTCGTCATGTCCTATTTCTCCTTTTTGTTTCCTATCACTTTCCATTACTCTTTTTTACTCCCTTTCATCTTCTATTACTTTCCATTACTCCATTGTTATTTCATTTTTTATCAGCATCTTTCTCCTTGATCATTGTAATTTATTTATCTTTTTTATTTATTGTTGTTGTTTCTTTATTTGTATCACTTCATTAAAAATAAATACGGTGATTTTTTTCTTTAAAATCGTAAATGTGTGTCTTTAATTTTAATATTTGAAAATAAAATTTCATTAAATAAGATTATTTTGAATAAATATGTTTGCAAAAATAATTTTTTTAAAAATATCTTTTACAATAAAATTCACCGATCAAATTAGCAAATCAGCCATCAGCCGATTAATAATATATTGTACATCATGTGACATATTTGAAAAAAAACCCAGGCAATGATTGCCAAAATATTATATTATACATATTTATAAAAAATCAATATAACATATAGGAAAATTGACCGACGTTGATAGAATGATGAGTAAGATTTTTTTCAATTAAATTGAATGTATAGATTTTAATTCAAATGGTTTAGTTAAATTAATAATTTATCAAGTAAAATGAGTACCAAGGAATAATAATAAATGAAATGAATAGATTCTAATACATTTAATTATTCAAATATTTTTCCTAAGTTGGTTATAAGTTTAAGATTGACGTAATATAAAACAAGAAATAATTATAATATTTTAATTAATTAATAAAAATATTTGTAGTATTTTCATAATATTAAAGTTTTTTTGAATATACTAAAAAATTAATCAAAAAAAATGAGGGTGAATGAAAAAATAGGGAGAGTAAAAGGGAATAAAAGAAACGAAGGGGAAGTGAGGGGGAGTGAAAGAAACAAAAGGAACGAAAAAGATCAAGTGGGAATGAAAAAAAATGAAAAGAATGAAGGGGGACGAAATGGAGCAAAGGGGAATAAAAAAATGAAAGGAACAAAGGGTAGTGTAAAAAGAAGTGGGAATGGAAAAAAATGAAAATAACAAAGGATAGTGTAAAGGAATGGAAATGGAATAAAAATGAAAGGAACGAAGGGTAGTGTTAAGAGAATGAAAGGAACAAAGAGGAAATAAAAAAACAATGGAAAAAATGAGGGAAGGGAAGAATAAAAAAAAGCAAAAGAAATGAAGAGACAAAAAGAAAACAAAAAAATGGAGAAGGGATGAGAATGAGATAAACAGGGGACCAAGTAGAAACCAAACCCATAAAATAAAAGAAGAAATAAAGTTAGTAGGGAACGGAAATTACATGTAATAAATAAACAAAAACAAAAAAAAACATACCTTAGAAGTTACAGAGAAGAACTGAAAGACCTAAAAGAATGAAATACAAAATGTAAGAAACGAATGGAATAAAAAATAACTGATAAGAAGAAACGGCCATATAGTGCTGGTCATATCTTAATAGCAAAATCGAAGAGCCAAAGGACCTAAAAAAACGAAATAAAGTTAGTAGGAAACAATATGCAAAAAGCAAAAATGAAAAAAAAGAAAGAAAACGTACCTCGAGTGCCATGCAAAGGAGTAAAAGGACCTAAAGAAAAAAAGATTGTCTGAGTACGTTTAAAAAAAGAAATAGACAAACATAAGAAATGATTCCGGGTAAATTATATAAGTTAAATCACCCAAGGTGAAAAATTGTTAAATCGCACAGGGTGAAAATTAAGTTATAATCTTCCTTAATTAATCCGAATTTCATTCTACACTCAAACGTCAAATCATTAATATAAGCTATATTATTATAAATATAATTTATATCATTCTAATATATTATAAATATAATTTAATACATATTATTTTATTATTTTTTGTTAACTAATTATTATCATATTAAATTCCTAATTATAAAGAAAAAAACTGTTGTAACCATCTTTAATTTACTTACATTATAATACTAAAATTTTCTATTTAAACATACTCATTGGTCCCGGTGCGAAGCAACGGGTGACTACTAAGAATCTGATAATAATTCTTTTTTTTAGAAACAAAATTTCGCCATTTTAATTGATCATTAGTACTGTATTTGTATAACATGTACATAATGCATTCTTTATCAAAAAAATATATATATTTATTCTACAATGCAATGATTAATTTTACTGAATATCGACACTTTCTGCATTTAGTTATTTATTGAAAGTTATATATTTTTATCTTCCAAAATAGTTTTTTTTTTTTAAATATTTTGTTATCATGTTAACTGTTTAATAAGATTATTTAAATTAGGAAGTTCATCATATAAGTATTAATTTAAATTTGAATAGTGTTCATTTACATATAAAAAAACTGGTGAAAATAAATTCCAAATTAGGAATTGGTTATTGGCATGACGACTGAATTCATTTCATAAGAAATTACAATAAAGTAAATCATTACCATGTGATCGATTCTCGTCATCTGAAAGTAAAAAATTTATTAAAGCAGAATAAAAATCAATAGTGAAATGAGTGAAATGGTTTCTAGATTCTTATTTATTATTTGAACTTCATAACTTTCTTCCAAGTATAACGTATATTGGCCCAAGTGAGTAACGTAAAGTCACATGTTCATCTACGTAGCAGTGTAGCACTTGCTACAATACAGAATTCTGACAACCATAATATCGATAGTCTACAATCCCGACACCAAGGTCCTGATAAACACGAAACAAAATCCCGATAATCACAAATCCTGACAATTAAAAATCCTGACAGTTAAAATCCCGAAGTTTTTTTTTTTAAAAAAAAAATTCAGTGGCGCAGTAATGTGTCTTTAATTTATCCAATATAATTATTTGAATTATTTGATTAGTATTAACGCAAAATATTTGTAAAATTTTATCAAATTTTATTAATATTAATGCAGACCAACCAAATCAAATGAATTTTTTTTTTTAATTTTAATTAAGAGAACTATGTTGGTATATTACTATAAAATTTGCTACCCAGTACATTTGCATAATCGTGCCGATCAGGGGATAATGTACATAGCCCCAAATTTTTATTATAATCATATTTCATTTACCATTTTTATTATTTTTAGCTGGTGATGAGTAACTATAAGAATTTTTCTTCAATTTTTGTCAGTGAATGATTTCCGGATATAGGATCGGAAAATCTTTTTAAATTCGAGTGGAATAAATTGTAATAAGATCAATAAAAAAAAATTTTAATATAATTTTGAGAATCTGTACAATAGTCAATAGTCATCTTTATCTCGTATAATGAAACATACTAAAGTTGACGACTGAATAGTGAATACATCGAAAATTCATTAATTACTGCGCCACAATGAATCATGTGATCGATTTTCGTTATTCTGAATCAATTAATCAATTGAATGTCCATTTGGAATTAAAAAAAATAATGAAATAATTATTAAATTCTTTGAACTTCAGATCTAACTTTCTTCCGAGTATTCCTACTAGTATAACGTGGATAAGCTGAGTAACATGTTTTAATTGTTTCATCCCACGTACTTGCATTTGCGTACACTTCAAATCTTCGTATAACAAAAATTGATTGTACTGTACGAGGTGTATTCACGTACCCTGAAATAAATTTCGTCTATCACAACTATCGGAACGCTAATAAAACTCGTTTACTCCCAAAATTTCTATAGAAAAAATCTAATTTAGTAATAATTAATATGTACAGTACATATAATAAGCAATAAGAATTTTTCTTTGAAATGAACTGCTGTATGTTAATTGAAATGATTTACAGAAAAATATATTTGTGATATAGGATCGGCATTTTTTGACTGACCTTTCTTTCAGACTTGAAAATATTTTACATCTTGCATTAAATTCTTTTTAAAATCGAATGGAATAAATTGTAGTAAAGTCAATAAAAATATTAAATGGAAAAATTATAATGGAATTTTGAGGGATTTGTAAAAGAGTTAATAGTCATCTTTATCTCGTAAAATAAAATGAAGGGTTCCGTAGTCAAGATCATCGAATACTTGATAAGGAATTAATTAATGGGATGATCACAATTTAAATTAATTGCATTTATTACATAAAGCCATTTGCTGATGGATTTTAAGGGGTAAAATTCAAAATTGGAAAATCGGTTGTTATTCTGCTTAGATTTTGCCGATCATGCAGCAGAAATTAGTGTTTAGCATAATCAATTCTGTTTTTATTTCCGCAATATATTTAAAATAATACCAATAACGGATGCCTGAAGTGATAATTTTTTCTTATAAATAAAACTAGCAGAATCAAAGCTTATATAGTTATTTTATTATACAAAAAATTCATCAATTATGAAGTACATGGTTTTTATTATTGTATCATTTCTTATATTCTTCAAAACTTTTGCTTTTAAAGCTTTTGATCAATGTGATAGTAAGTCATCTAAGAACAGATTTATTTATTGCTTTATTTTTCTAAGATATCTAATTTTAATAATCTATTCTTTTTTTTACGTTCTTGTTATTTTATCATGGTAATAAGGAGATTTTACTGATTTTGATGCCACTTCAGGCATTAAATTCCTGTCAAATCATCAGATCGAATTAACATTAGAAGGACCAAACTCAAGAGAAAATCCTGGAAATTTGCCATGTTGTGTGCAACAGGGGCCAATGATTATTAGTAATTATACGTTTCATAATAGAGATCACTCCCTTATTTATACTATTGTACCAGAAAATAAACGTATATTGGTAAATGGATACACTAGAACAGATATCATAAATGCGAATGATTGTTCGAGTGGAAACTTTGATTGTAATTCACTTTATCAAGGATCATTTATTTACACGCGGGCTGATAATTATGATCCCACGAAATTTTTCAAACCAGGAGAGAATATCGGGGTGGGAATAACTATATATTCTGCTTGTTTCCATCACTTAGAAACGGTTTGCTTAACTACTTGTAGGTATACCGGTGGTTTAATTTATACTCCACCACAATAAATGGATTTTTTTTTTTTGATATGCGGATTTACTATGAAATTCCGATCATCAGAATCCCGTTATAACACAAACTCGGCGCTCACAATCCTGATTATCCCGACACTTAATATCCTCACGAATAAAAAAAAAATACATTAAGAAAATTACATTTTTATTTAATATAAAGCAAAAAACTGAAATTTATTTTTCCTAATACTATTTTCACATTTAATACAATCTAAAAATAAACACCCCGAAAAATCCTAATAAAATGACTTTATTGTTCCAAAAAAATAAATAAAATAAAATAAATTTATGAAAATTGTTATCGCAATTTTCGAATTACTGTAAACAGTATAAACGAGAAAAATAATGATTTTTTTCAAAAACCCGTGAAACCAGTAAATTTTATTGCATTTTTGGAAGGAGAAGGTGCGATTATAACATGAAAACCTTGATTTTAGGATGAAAAATCCAACTCTTATGTAAGTTTACTTATAGAGAACTTTTTAGGTTACACGAAATCTCAAAAGTCGCTTATATGCAAACTTGCCGAAAAATTAAGTTTTCTGCTCTAAAATTAACATTTTCAGGTTATAATCGCACCTTCTCTATCTAAAAATGCAATAAAATTTACTGTTTTCGTGGGTTTTTGAAAAAAATCATTTTTTTTATTTTATTTTCCCATTTAAACTGTTTTCAGTAATTCGAAAATTGCGATAAAATGGTTTACGAAATTGGCTTTTACATTAAGATACTAGAACATTTTTTTATTGAATTTTCGCAATCACGTGATCAATTTTCGTCTTTAGAACGCACTTTACTTATGTAACTAGCAAAAATATATATGTAATTATACCTGAATCATATCGTTATTTTCGACAAGGTTATATCCAAATCTTTCACCCACTATAATATATTTTTAAACGAAAATCTTTCGAAGTTATACGTATTATAAATGAAGTAAATCTACTTAATCTTTTTTACACTGTAAATTCATTTTGTTCTATTTGTTAATATTTTGTTGAATAATAGGATGTTGACCACATACTCAATTTAATAAATTTTTCCAAATGATAATTTCATTATTAATATAAAAATTGTCTCGTTTTAAATTATTTCTAAGATAGATGGATTAAAGTTAAGAAATTGTGTTGATTCAAACTAAATGAGGCTGATAAAATCACAAATTCACAGAATTATAATTTTGTTAAAAAAAAAAGATAGTATCAGAAAATAGAAATATTTCATTTATCTTTAGCTCTAAAAAGTTACTAATAATATAAGAAAAATACTTTGGGAGAATTTCAAAATTTAGGTGAATAATAATGAAATAATCATTCTTTTTTAAATATTTTCAGCAAAAACAGTTTTTAGATTCTTTTTTTTTAAAAAAAAACGGTGAAATTCTTTATATTTGATAATCATAAATGAACATCACACTTTGATTTTGATGGTAACAAATTAACAATTTTCGTTAGAATAAATACTAAAATTGTCAACGGTGCCAATAATCAGAATTTCGTATCGACCACCACATCGATGATCGATCACTGTATTGATTAACCATCACCACCACCACGAAACATCAAATGAGTTTAACGACGACAAAGAACTTAGAAATATATATCGAAAATACATATTATATACTATGAAATCTACTTGTATAATTGAACTTTGGAAGGATAAATATTCATTCTAATTTAACAGGGGTCGAAAATAAAATATTTATCCTAACTCATGTTGTCTAAATTGAGAACGAAAAAAATTTCAACTTGGGACAAAAGAAATTATTATGCTCTATTTTCATTGCAATCTTTACATGATCATTTGCCACGTCCCCCTTCCAATTCTCCTCTATTATAGTGTGTTTGTTTGCTATGTCCCTCTCTTCAAGTTCACCTGAAAGAAGCAAATAACGAACTTGTATATCAAACTGTAATTGAGGTTTACTCCTACCTAAATTGTAGGTCTTTTTGCTGGTAAAGACGGTTGTTATCACGCTTGTTGTACGATCGGATCTGGAATTTGATGTAAAATAAAAAAAAAATGGTAAATATAAGCGTAACCCACATGATGCACTAATTCCTATCTTTAAATTCTCAATAAATCTTAAATAAATCAAATTAGTTTAAATTCTTAATAAATCCAACTAAAACATTTAAACCCTTAAATAAACTTTGAGTCTTTCTCACTAAATTAAAGTCTGGTAATATCTATTACAACCAAACGGTAAACCATATAAAGTCCAATTAAATGTAAGTATTATTGCCATATAAATTTACTAAATCTTGAAACCTTAAATCAAATTAAAGGGAATATTTCGGGTACCGTTCATTTATATGATATCTTGCCTTATGAATGAAAGCAGTCCGCGCCGCAGACTAGACACTAATTGTGTAACCGAAAATTGTCACCATTTCAATTAGAAACTGAGAACTATTATAATTTCTAAAATAGTTAATAAAGGATGAGACACATTCGATTATCATGAGTATTGATATTTCGCGAGGCAAATTGGAAAAATTACCACTTTCTCTTCTACCTTTTTCTTCTATTATATTTCGTCAAGTCAAGTCTCCACACGGTCAAATATACTTGAGCGAATATAAAAACTGAAGTTGCTTGGGTAGAGAAACCTGTGTATAATCATTTATCCTTATATTCAAAGTTAAATATGATCATATGGATAAATGAGAAGTTTATTTTTAAAAAATAATTTCTTTCTCATTTTAATGCCACGTTGCATAGGTAACGGATTTATAGGGTAATATACTTAACGGGATCCTCCTGAAATCCCGACAACCATAATCCCGATGTGATAAAATCTTGACACTCCTATTCCCGACTAAGACAATATCCCGAATGATTAAAATACCGAAAGAATTATATCCCGAATAGTCCAAAATCTGGAATTCAAAATTCCCGAAAGTTCAAGTTACTGATGAGTCAAAATCCCGACACAATAAAGAAAAGAATTTTTTCATGTGACCATTTATGTAATAAACCGGCGTAAATGGTGTAAGATATGCCAAGTAAATAAATTAAAAGAAAATTTTACAAATTGGACTAGTGGAAATGAAAAAATTGATAATATTATTCAGGAATTGCAATTAAAAATTAATAAATATGATGATATAATAGTTAAATGGATACCATATAACCAGTTTAATTATATTAAAAATATAGGAAAAGGTGGTTTTGCTATAGTATATTTAGCAATATGGATGGATGGTCCATTAAGATATTATAACGAAACAGAATATAAAAGGACACCTAATGAACAAGTTGCTTTAAAATGTTTACATAATTCACAAAATATTACTAATGAATTTTTAAATGAGGTATGAATTTTTCATTTAGTTAATTGAATCTCATTCAAAATTATAACATTTTATGTTTCATTAGGTTAAAAAATACTCCATTAATAGTGATCATATTCTTCATATATATGGAATATCACAAAATCCAGATACAAAGGATTATATTATGATTTTTCAATATGCAAATGGTGGAAAGCTTGATGATTATATTAGTAATTATGTTGTAGATTGGGTTTGGAGAGAAAGATTAGAGGCACTAAATAACATCATTAAAGGTCTCAGAAAAATTCATGAAAATAAAATGGTTCATCGTGATTTTCATACAGGAAATATTTTATCATCATTTAATAATTATTATTCTTCTACTTTAAATCCTATTAGTAATATATGTATTTCAGATATGGGTTTATGTGGTGAAGTTAGTAATATAAATGAAAAAAATATTTATGGTGTTATGCCTTTTGTAGCTCCTGAAGTGTTAAAAGGAAAACCTTATACTCAAGCAGCTGATATATATAGTTTTGGTATGATTATGTATTTTATAATGACTGCAAAACAACCTTTTGCTGATTGCGCTCATGATAGTATTTTAGCAGTAAAGATATGTAGTGGAATAAGACCTGGTATAAATGAACTAGAAGCACCAAAGTGTTATATTGACCTGATGAAAAGGTGTTGGGATTCAAATCCAGATAATAGACCAAATGCCATTGAAATAGAAGAATTAATTGGATTATTCCTTAAATCTATGCGTACTATTAAATATAATGAGATTAAAAAGCAATTTGAAAAAGCAGATGAATATAGAAAAGCAAATCCTTCATCTATTAAAAGAAATCAATTAACTACTCATCCGCAGGCTTGTTATACTTCTCAATTACTTAATTCATTTACAAAGGACCTTTCAAAAATCGATGATGTTTACAGTATTTCAGTAGAAGTTAGCGATTTTACAAAGTAAGTTATCTATTTAATTTTGCTTTTTAGTTAAAGAATTTATTCAAACTTTAAATTATTTATTTTATAGGGGATTAATTGAAAGTGAATAGTAAACATATTTGGATTCATTATTATCATTATTATTATTATTTTTTTTATTTAATCATACTATCTATATTAACAAAAACATCTATTTTTGCTTGCTTACCTTTATATATAATATTTTGTTTAACACTGATTATAGAGTATATGTAAATTTCTTTTACATAAATAAAGTCAGTTTGTAATTAAACAAATAAAATACTTGAAAGTACATTTAAAGGCTATTAATATAATTCAAATTTGGTTAATGAGCCCCTAATTATATGTACATATAATATATTATACTGAAATAATTAAAAAATAAACACATTCAGTAGTCATTACAACTATTTGTCAAATATTTGCTGCCAATTAGTGTTCCGAAAGGGTCGGGTCAAACCCGGGTCATTTGACCCGACCCGTGTTTAAAATCCGAATCGGGTTTATCATTATTTGACACGAGTCNGTCTGTCTCAAAAGTGTATTATCTAAAAGGATTGAATTTGTTCGGATTTTTAATCGCAAAATCCATTAATAAATCCAAACATGTGATCAAAATCAGAATTGAGTTGGCTGATTGCTGGCAAAAATTTCCAACAATAACCACTTAACACGTTTGTTTTTGCTTATTTTTAAATCTTGATCAAAAAATTCTACTTTTTTGTAGGTCGGTAAAATGGGGTCACTGATCAAGTTGCATAATTTCACCATCCAATAATTATCACGATCAAAAATCCGATATTTGCTTTATCTATTGTACAACATATTACATATATAATATAAATTGTCATTATTTTCATCAATTTCTTAATATTATTTTAAGTATATAGAAAGTGAATAACATAAAGTGTAATATAATTGATTTCATTGGTCATTATATTCTACGTGGCTAGCTTAAATTAATTGAAATATATTGATATAATAAAATAGAGAGGATGTTAAATAATAAGAATCTGATAATCTAACTTTCTTCCGAGTATTCCGGGTATAACGTAGATTAGTTGCTGTCTCTTATACACATCTAGATGTGTATAAGAGACAGAAACTATATCGGGTCGGGTCAGAGGTCGGGTCATGTAAATATTAACCCGGGTATTTGTACGGGTTGGTTTTTATACTCGGGTCAAGTTCGAATACATCCTCAAACCCGACCCGACTCGACCCTTTCGGAACACTACTGCCAATTCATCTGAATAAATACATGCAAATCATTTTAATAACTAACGTTTTGGATATGGTAAAATTAAAAATACAATATTTGACATATATTAAGATAAAATAGGTTAAATATATTTTATGTATAAAATTAATTTATATAAACATATGCAACTATTTAACTATGGTACAGTACTCAATTTAAATATTTCCATTAATAATGCCAATAAATCATTCATCTTGACTACCATGATTAATAGGTAATCCTCGATATAAATAAAGATTGAAGGACATTATAGATAATATAATAAACCTTTTTACCAACCAATTAACGATTATATTAACAAAACTTGATCTGAAAATCTTTGAATTTTAAATACATAATTTATTGTTTAGTGCCATTCAATCGCAGATTCCAAAGGGACCTCAAACAATGCTAAAAAGATAAACAATCGAGTTTGCGTAGAGTAGACCAAAATAATTTGTTGATTCTTTCTTTTTTTAGATAATGCCAGCCAGAATTTTGTGACACCTTAAAATTATCTACTGGCATTATGCGCCTCTGATAGTAAACAAGAAACTGGTTCAAGTGCTGACATTGATTGGTTAGAAAAAGCCATCGTAGAAGAACATATTAAATTTTATGATTATTCTCATTTTAATAATATACAAGAAATTAGTATTGGTTCTGTCGGAAGTATCTTTCGTGCAAATTGGAAAGATTCTGACACTGTATTATTTGTTTTAAAATCATCATATAAATTAACCGTTCAAGAAATTGTAAATGAGGTAAAAAAAAATAATATTAATATATTATTTTAACTGCGAATAAAAAAAATATTTCTAACTGAAAAAAAAAAAAAAATTTATTTTATTAAAATTTTATTATAGCTGAAAATATAACGTGAGGTGGATTTTCTTACAAATATTTTGTCATGGAATATGCTGATGGCGCCACGTACACAGTTATTTGATTGAAAATTTTAATTGACTCTATTGAAATGATAAATTACGGTTAGCAATACAACTTGTAAACGCTATATCATGTAAACATAATGAACATAATGAAGATATCGTTTACGGAGATTTGGTAAAATTTTTTATAAATTTTTTTTTTATAATATTAATCAAAATAATTTTTTTAAAATCAAATGATTTTTAATCAAAAATTATTTTTTTTTCTTATTTTTTTATTCTTTATTATAGAATTCTTATAATATACTCGTACATCAGAACAATATCAAGTTAACCAATTTCTTAAGCCTCAAATAAAAATAATTTATTTAAATTACGAAATATTAAATTGATGAAATCTTATTTGAAGCTTAGCAAAAATTTAATAAGCCAATGATAATGAATTCTTTAAAAAATAGTTAATAGTATTATAAAATTAATAATCATAATTTCTAAAGAAAGTTTATAAAAAGTCTAATCCAATATAATTCAATATCAATATGAAAATCTATATTTTTTGTATTTGAAACTGTAAAAGTATGCCAATTCATTCAATCCATTTTATTTGAAAGTTTAAAATACGCGACTGTAAGTTGCGAACAATTTTGAGAATAACTGCTTTTATATTACTGTATCTAACTCATTTATTTATTAATATAGACAATATTAATTTTATACTAAAGCTATTTTGTCCAAAAGAAAAAGTTGGTAAATGTAGAAAAAAATATTTTCTTACAATAATTTGGTAGAATTAGTTCTTTTATTTATTTGTCAGAATTACAATAATGGAAGTCTGTCTCAAAAGTGTATTATCTAAAAGGATTGAATTTGTTCGGATTTTTAATCGCAAAATCCATTAATAAATCCAAACATGTGATCAAAATCAGAATTGAGTTGGCTGATTGCTGGCAAAAATTTCCAACAATAACCACTTAACACGTTTGTTTTTGCTTATTTTTAAATCTTGATCAAAAAATTCTACTTTTTTGTAGGTCGGTAAAATGGGGTCACTGATCAAGTTGCATAATTTCACCATCCAATAATTATCACGATCAAAAATCCGATATTTGCTTTATCTATTGTACAACATATTACATATATAATATAAATTGTCATTATTTTCATCAATTTCTTAATATTATTTTAAGTATATAGAAAGTGAATAACATAAAGTGTAATATAATTGATTTCATTGGTCATTATATTCTACGTGGCTAGCTTAAATTAATTGAAATATATTGATATAATAAAATAGAGAGGATGTTAAATAATAAGAATCTGATAATCTAACTTTCTTCCGAGTATTCCGGGTATAACGTAGATTAGTTGAGTAACATGTTTTATCCTATGTACACGCATTTCAAATCTTTGTATAACAAAAATTGATTGTACTGTACGAGGCATCATGACGGATTTATGAAATACCCCAAAATTTGTTCGTCATGTTAAATTAAATAAATATTGACAATATTTTAGTCACCAAATTTCTATTTAAGTCCCAAATTTATTAGTGAACAGTCAAAATGAGCTCTAAAAAATTTTTTTGTGTTTCTGCAAGTCAATTTTAATTCCCGAGGCGCAGCAGGGTTTTTGCCAAATTTCACTGCAATGTACCCTAAAATAAATTTCGTCTGAAACGATTATTAGCGTGTACAGTACACATGATAAGCAATAAAAATTTTTCTTTAAAAATGAACTGCTGTATAATAAATGCCGGTTAAACTTTGTCAATGAAATAAATGATTTACAGAAAAATATTCGTGATATAGGATCAGCATTTATTCTTTTTTAAAATCGAATTGTATAAATTGTAGTAAGGTCAATAAAATATTAAATGGAAAAATTCTAATGGAATTTTGAGGAATTTGTAAGAGTTAATAGTCGTCTTTATCTCGTATAATAAAGTTCGAAATCTGATCATCGGATACTTGATAGGGAATTTTTTTTTTTTTTTTTGATAAACGTAAATTTTATTATTAAGTAATAAAAAGTATAGAAGCACACATTTTACACAGTAAAAATCAAAACTTACATTGAAAATTAACATAGATAAATCTATATTAATTCTCTCCTTATCAAAACTTTGCCACTTCAAGCAAAGCAAAAACTATCGCTACCAATGTGCTATTCACAAAAAAAAACCCCCATTCTACACTAAACTAATACAAAACTAATATATATATACGTTATCCTAAAAATTTCAACATGTTTTTCATATTTTTCCTATTATATCTTGTTTTACTACTATTTTCTAAATTTTCTACCAATATACTACCAAAGCACAACTCAAAGCACATACCTTTTGTTTGTGTCGTCGCGATGGTATTAAACTTGATGACGGCTCACTTTGTTGCCACTCCATCGAACAACCATTTAACCTCGAGGTGAAATTTCTATCACGTGTTCGTGAATCTTTTCTTTTAACTCGCCATTCTCGTCTATATAGTCATCTTATTTCTTCAATTTTAATTCTTTTCCAAATTCGCTGTTTCTCATCGATTCGGTTATTGCGCTCATTAATCCATTTCTTTATTAAAACATAATATAATGAATCTCATCCCATTAACTAACGATTTTTTCCAAAAAATGCTTTATATTCTTTCACATATTCTTTAATAACTGTATAATCACTGACTAAAGCGCTATCTTCTAGTTTTTTACTAGCTTGCCAAAAATATTTCTCTTTTACTTGGTTATATGTCAACCGTGAATCAAACATCCTAAAGAAATAATTACGTTCACCTTTTGTAATAGACACATTAACGCCACCATTTTTATATATTTGTTCATACGCGTTACTAAAACGCAGCGTAGCCCTAACCGTCCTGTATTTATGACATCGTTTAATTCTCATGTACTCTATATATCCTACATTTTCATTTAACTGACTATAAATTTCCATATCACTCCAATACCAAGGTATATCGTAAAACGTAATATCATGTGATTTTCTGGAAAAATGTTGTTCCAAGGCTCCAAGCCTAACCTCGCTGATCATTCCATTTCTAACATTTTGTGAGTTTCCATATTAGTCACTTGACTCAGTGACTTATCCTCTTTTTTCTCTAGCGCCTTCAGTTTTCCCCCATATTAAATTATTTTCCTCCGTTTTCTCCAAAATGATTCGTTCCTTTGCCGTAACATCAGCTTCCAAATTCCAAATTCTATTTTCCAAGTCTACAATCCCTTTCAGTCCGTCGTTTTCTTTTGAGATTTCAGCAATTTTAATCTTGTCAGCTTTACTCTGAATTATTATTGGTTCGTTGTTTTTTTCCGCAGCAGTTTTCTCACGTTGCAATAAATCTTTTACTATACTCGAAACGACCTCACTACTCAATTTTGTTAAGAAAATTGTTATAAAATAGTACAGCTTAGGCACTAGCGTCTCTCTTTTGTCAAGGCGTACCAGCATTTTCTCTGGCGTAAAAAGAGCGTTCGGTCCTAATATTTTTTTGATATTCCATAAATTCTTGCGCTTTACTACGTCTATCAAATACTTGTCGTATATTTCCTCGAAGCAGTCATAATATTTGTCCATTATCATCTTATAGTCGTTATCAACACACTTCATCGACTCCTCAGAACTTATACTTGCTGTCTATGCCATTTTTTCCTGTTATTTTATGTATTTTATCATTATTTGTTAATAAAAAAAAGGTCTTTCTTCTTCCTAAAATTTTGTTATGAAGGATCGACGGAAAGAGTTTTTTATACTTGATAGTGAGATCATCCCATCAATTAATTATTACATAAAGCCATTTGCTGATCCCTATAAAAAATTTTATCAGTTATTTCTGTAAAACTCCGTAAAATTGAGCCTGTGATATAAGGTTATTAATTCTGGAAATATGAGCCTTTTACGGAAAAAGACGGAATATAAAAAACGGATTGACTTTTTTTACAGGGGATGGATTTTAAGGGGCGATATTTTTAAAATAATACCAATAACGGAATCCTAATGTGATAATCTTTTCTTATAAATAAAACTAGCAGAATCAAAGCTTCTATAGTTATTTTATTATACAAAAAATTCATCAATCATGAAGTACATGGTTTTTATTATTGTATCATTTCTTATATTCTTCAAAACTATTGCTTTTAAAGCTTTTGATCAATGCGGTAGTAAGTCATCTAAGAACGAATTTTATTTATTGTTATATTTTTTTAAGATAGCTAATATTAATAATCTATTCTTTTTTTTTTACGTTCTTGTTATTTTATTATGGTAATAAGGAGATGGTACTAATTTTGATGCCACTTCAGGCATTAAATTCCTGTCAAATCATCAAGTCGAATTATTATTAACAGGACTACACTCAAAAAAAAATCCTGGCAATTTCCCATGTTGTGTGCAACAGGGGCCAATGATTATTAGCAATTATACATTTTTTAATAGAAATAACTCCCATATTTATACTATTATACCAGAACATAAACGTTTATGGGTAAATGGATACACTAGAACAGATATCTTAAATGCGAATGATTGTTCGAGTGGAAACTTTGATTGTAATTCACTTTATCAAGGATCAAATAGTTACACGCGGGCTGATAATTATGATCCCAAAAAATTTTTTCAGCCAGGAGAGAATATCGTGGTGGAAATAACTATATATTCTCATTGTTTCCATCACTTAGAAACGGTTTGCTTAACTACTTGTGGGTATATCGGTGGTTTAATTTATACTCCACCACAATAAATGGATTTTTTTTTTTGATATGCGGACTTACTATGAAATTCTGATCAGAATTCCGGTTATCTGTTATAACACAAACTCGGCGCTCACAATCCTGATTATCCCGACACTTAATATCCTCACGAATAAAAAAAATACATTAAGAAAAATTACATTTTTATTTAATATATAGTAAAAGACTGAATTTTATTTTTTAGTATTTTCACATTTAATACAATCCAAAATTAAACACTCCGAAAAATTCTAATAAATGACTACATTGTTTCAAAAAAATAAAATAAAATAAATTTACGATAGAAAAGGAACTTTCATGAAAAATTTTTAAAATGGTTTGCGAAATTGGCTTTTACATTAAGATATTAGAACATTGATCTTGTAATTTCTTCAAATTTATTTAAATTTAGGCCGACATTATGAATTTGGCCAGAATTAAAATTTGAAAATCGTTTTAACTGGTTAAATTAACTTTTGATTAAATTTAAACTTTTATATATTATATACTTAAAGGGACATTCTAAACTAAAAATTTTATTATAGTATTCAGGGAATGGCCTTTTACTGGTTTCAGAAAGCGGCAGGAAAGGGTTATAAAGAGTCAATGCACAATCTTGCCTTACAATACTACAAAGGTGAAGGGACAGAGAAGGACTTGGAAATGGCCCTTCACTGGTATCAGAAAGCGGCTAATAAAAAAATTTTGCTCTTAAAATTATGACATCTTCCTTGTCCGCTAATAATTAAGAATCATAATATAATTTTTGCATCTGGATTTTCAAATAAATTAAGAATTTTATCATCATTTCTAATAGAGTACTTTTTTATCTATTAAAAATTAAAATGATTATATATTAAAAAAAAAGTACCTAATTAAATTCAAAATTGTTTATCAATTTTTAGTTACAACTAGTATACTTTACAATAATTTGTCATTGTAAATAATTTTGTTTATTTTTTAAAATGCAGACTAAATAAAATTATTACTTAAATTAATATTTCATAATACCTTAATAAAATTTGTTCTATTTTACTTATAAATAACACTTAGTATGTAGAATTCACAAAATACTTATCTTTGGTGATAAAATAGGATTAGGGTATAAAGATTAGGAAGGCTGAATTATTTTTATCTATGATGTTAGAATTTAATGTTTGGCCAACGAATGAAATAACCGAATTAACTACATTTAGCCACGGTCAAAATCACACGAATCACATGCCTTAATGATTACTCGTAATAAAATTATGATAAAAATTATAATAAAATTATTGCATCAAATGCATCATCATACTTGACATACGCCACTTGTCACATAAAATTGAGTTATAACATTAAATTTACCAGCCTTACTAAAATTTTATTATCAAAATACATAATTCAAAATATCAAATTAACACTCTATTAAATGGTAAAATTAGTTAACAGTCTTTACTAAAATTTAACATCAAGCAAATTTATCACAAAAAATGCATAACCAACAATAAAACATTTCACATTATAATCAAAAAAGTATAAAATTTTCATAATTTGTGTAATATTATTATTGTGATTTAAAATTCTTTCGATCTACAGTATTAATAATTAAATTTAATTTCAAATCTTTGTCCATTGAGTTCATTACTTGCAAATGCAGTAATTTTATTTGGACCAAAAGATAATCCAAAGTTAATGCTTCTGTTGTCAAGATTTGCATCTAATAATAAAGATTTAATTGTATTAATTTTCCATTTCCATTAAAAAAAAAAAATATGGCATCTAAAACTTACCTGGAAGATCAGCGTTTAATACTTCAAGTAATTTCATTCCTGGTCCATCAACTTCATCAACATATGTTGCAGATTCTTCATTTGTGCAATAAACTTCAAATTTTGCATGTGTTTGACCTGATTCGGGTTTAAAATTAAAAGTGAAGATCTGATCTGGTGAAACCTTAGTGCCTCGTTCGACCAAAGAAATAAAATTTGAAATTTTTCCATCAGAAGTCTTCCTATTATCTTCTTTCCAATTTGAGGCAAATCGAAAACCATAAGTATGTTTAAGAATAGTTGAAATAATATTTTTATTTCCTGATTTATTTGAATTTGAATTTATTAATGATATTCCATAATCCGTCGCTCCACGTGAAATTGCAGTTGATAGATGTTCAGTAGTTGAAATAATTTTCACAGTATGATGGAATTCTTGTTTAATTCTTCTTTGCAAATATTTATTCTCACCGAAACCTCCAACTAAAAACATTGCTGAGCAAGTTTCTTTATTATTTGAAAGTTGGATATGTATTAAACGAATAATTCTATCAATAACAGTATCAAACATTTTTTTTATATCATTATATTTAATATCAATAAACCAGTTAATTTCTTCCATAATTTCTCTTGTTTCTTTACTGACACTGCGCGGTAAAAATGGAAAATTTTCCTCAACATCTAGCGTATAATAAAATTCCGTATTATCTACTGCAAAAGTCTTCTTTAAGTGTTGACAGATATTATAAATATTTTGTAATTCGAAATAATAACCATTCGTTGATAATATTAATAATGGATCAATCCCATATTTTTCATGTAAAAATGTAATTATTTCTTTATCAATAAATATACTTCCACAGAAATCTCTAACGCGATTGGTAATTTCGCTTAATTGTAATGGATTATTTTTAACCAACTTGTGAGTAGTTATATCTATAGTACTTTCGCCGCAGTCAACAATAATAAATGGCTCTATAATATTTAAATGATAATTAATTAAATAAAATTCTTTTAAAGTAATTTAAATAAATAATTACGATCTTACCTTCTGTAGATAATAAGTTATATTTCTGTAATTCATTTTTTATACAATAAGTTGCTGCAGCCTCAGCTGTAGTAAAAAAGTAAAAAAAAATCAAATAAAAAAAATGAATTTAAATAATTATTAATTTTCTTTTTTTTTTTACTTGAAACTTACATTCTGTAATAAATTGTATCTTTTCCGAAGATTTATTTCTAACGAGTTTTGCATTATGAACACGTTCTCTCATAATAGCTTCGTCTTTTTCTGAATACTCCTCAGAAACAGTAAGAACAAATAATACATTTTCAAAGTATTTAATATTTGGATAACTTCTTGCAATTATATCTTTTGTACTCTTAGAGATTTCAATTAAATAAGTAAATAATTTAATTAATATTAACGTTAAGATAATTCAGATAAGACACATTACCTTTCCAATATTTCTAAGCAGATCATATTCATACAGATAAGAATTTGATTTTGAATTACTATCCGACAAGTTACCCAGACGTAATTTGTATAATTCAACAATTTTGAGGTAATTACTAAATTGAGTATCGCAACATAACGTTTTATATACATTTTGCTTAAGTATTTTATTGTCTTGCTGATACGAATTACTTCGGAATATTCCTTGTTTTCCAACTTTATGAAGAGAGCGTGCGTAGGAAGCTGATCCAAAATCTAATCCAACCACGACTTGAATATCGGAATAAATCCCGGATTTTTCTGTATTTTTTCCTAAACCTTAAAAATTGCATAAACAAAATTAATTTTAATGTTTAATCAAATTGATAATTTTGAAATACATTATTTACTTACTTAATGAGTATATGGAGGAATCATTACTATTTATATTATTATTTAAAGATAAGATTATTTGGTTATTAATATTATGATTTTTTTGTTCATGATTATCTTTTTTGATTAAAGGTTCACATTTTTCTTGTACTTTATTATCATTAACTTTATTTAAATTTTTTATTCCTAAACTATTTCGAATGTTTTGGGAAATTATTTCAAGTTGATCTAGTTGTTGTAATAGTTCACTTTTTTGCTTTTCTAAATTTTTAATATTTTGTTCAAGTTTTTCATATTGATTTTCACTTTTTTGAAGTTCAAGTTGCTTGTCTTTTTCTTGAAGTTTTTCTTTTAAAATTTGAATTTCTTGTTGAAGGTTTTGATTTTTTTGTTTAAGATTTTGGTTTTCTTCTACTTGATGAGCACATTTTTCCTTTAAATCATTAAAATCTGCTATAAGTCTTGCAATAGCATCTGACGTCATTATTTTCAACTTTTTTCTTTTTCTTTTTCGTATAATTAATTAAAAATCACATACTGTACGTATAACTTTCTTTTATAACAAAAAATGATTAGTATGAAAAATGAGTAACTTTGTATACCAAACATCATGTGTTTCTTTTCTAAACTTTTTAAGGCATAAAATAAAATATAAATGATGCAAAATTTTATTTATGTAAGAATAAATTGATGTAAATAATATTATTTATATTATTTCGAAAAAAAAAAATATTATGTAATTCCCAATAATATATTACACAGCTATTACATTATTAATACATGGAGGAGATTTAATTTTTTAATGAATATTATTTTTTTCTTTTTGAACTTTCACATTTTCACAGATTTCATTGTGATGTAATTTTGTCATTGATGATCGGCTCGGACATAAATCGTATCGAATTATGAACGGTAATAAAATATTGTTTCCATGATTCAATGTGTATTAAAAGCAATGTGACCATGAATAAATTTATGTTTCGAAACGAATAGCGAATTATAAGATATTGTCATTTGCTATGAAATATTACAAAAAGTGACGGTTCGTGTGCATTTCTACAAAGAATTTGTTGAGAGTTGTGATGACATGTTTTATTATATTATTGAGTCAAGTTGGTATAAAATATCAACATAAAGTCGTCATAGTTGAGTGTATAAATAATGTATTCTCATTATTAGAAAATATAACATTCTCCATCATTTTATGTTACTAAAAAAAATTATATCGCTATAATTCCATTTTAATTGGTATAGAATAAATTAAAATAGGAAATACAAGAGGTTATTGTAAAAAATAACCTGTTTATTATAAATAAAAATAAAATTTTAACATAGAACGTGTGCACAATATTTGTATTTTAAACGTCGCTTCTTGTCATACTTTCATGAGGTTAAAAATGACATTTCAATGAATTCGTGTATAATGAATGGAATAATCTGTCATGATTTTACAATGTTTATATACTTAAATCAATATACGGTAGTAAATATATTTAATAATTTGAATAAATTTATTAAGATTATTTAAATTACAAACTAAGAATTTTGTAAAACATTTACTATTCTAGTCTTAGTGTTTAAATAATCCATGATAAATAAATAAATAAATAAATGATAATAATTTAAAAAAATAAAAAAAAACATTGTTAAATGTTTATTCAAAATCCATCTAAAGTTAAAAAATAACAAATTATAAATTAATTATTTGCTTTAAAAAGAAATCTTATTTATTTAAGAACTTACCATCAGGAATTTCCAGTTCATCTTGTTCTTCTGAATGAAGATTTGGATTATTATATACTTCGTCATCATCTATAAAGAAAATAAAATTAAAATAGTATAAAAATTGTGTGTTGTTACGTAAAATTTTCACCTACCATTGACATGTTGTTGAGTTATTTCCTTTTCATCATCTAAATTTTAAATAAAAGTCACGTTAAATAAATGAAATTGATAATGTAATTTTATTCGTTAGTAATTTACTTACTATTTGACTTTATTTGCAACTTTTTAAATAATTTAGATAATTTTTTATTACTATCTAAAAATTAAGATACAAGATTTATATATAAAACAATCTCGATTTGATAATAATTAAAATATATTACCTCTAAAAATAGTAATTACTTTTGATGATTTGCTATTTCGCTTATTTGATTTATTAAAATCACTAACTAAAATAAATATCAATTATTAAACATCATTATGTAATAATTCAATGCTGTAATGTTAATAATTACTTACTATTGTCAGGAATGTTAAAATCATACAATTTACTATGAAATTCTATTAGTAGTAAAATAAAGTATTTTAAAACTAAATTATTAGTTACCAAAAAATGGTAGAAATTATTATTTATACGGCTATACCTTCTTGTTCTTCTATTATAATAAAAAGATAACATTAAATAATATATTTTAAATAAATATATTCATTAATAAAATTTTATACACTCATACCTTCTGTTGCATTTCTTGGTTCAGGTAGATTTCCAAAGTTGTGAATTTTACTGCTACTTGTGTAATTTGCTCCTACTTTATTCATTTCTAAATTATCCATTTCTAATTTGAATAATTCATCTGACATATTTTGATAATGTAAATTAATTCTTCTCATTTTTATCTCAAGTGCATTAGCATCAGGTCTTTTTAATGGATCAGCATCCCAACATTCTTTCATTAAATTTTTATATTCTAATGGAGTTCCTGGCACAATTTTTGGTCTTATACCATTAATAATATTCATTACAATATCATT